TACTCTGTGTCCCTTACTTCTATCGTCACAATAAACTGGCATCGTAACTGTCCGCAAACCCGTCTGTAGAGCAGATGTTAATGTGTGGTAATATGTTTAACAAAAGCTAGAAATTTGTTAATTTGTTGTGTGTTGGTCAACCGTCGTTTGTAGACGCAGAAGTCGCATGCCGACAGGACAGACGATACTCAATACGCCAACGGATGTTTCTAGTTGTTCTCAAGATCAGAGGTTAATCGCACCGAAGACTTCCCGAGCAGTTTTGTAAGAAGCGTTTGTTAAGGGAGTAGAACTTTAGCCTGCCCAGTGTGCAATATGCATAGGAGTTAAGACGGGCATTGGATGCTAAGAGGTAAAGAAGGTGGGTCTCAACTTGGATGGGCTCATTCTTGGCAGGGGGAGAGCTCTTCTTCATCGTCAGGTTCATTCGTAAATTTTCGCTTTGCAATTCTTTTAATGTTTGCGGAAATCAAGCAGGCACAAATTAAGTACGGTCCAAAGTAAATATAGCGAATGCATGTTAAGCGTTGTGGTATTACGAGTGTATTTCCACTGTCGTGGAGATAGAGAAAATTGAGCAGACGACAACTTGTAAGCAGCAGAACTGACAGTGAAGTATTCCCGCCCTCGTCCTGTACTCCCAATCAAGAAACTTTGTCTGGAGGGAGGAATTGATGAGACAATTGTTTCCTCAATGGCTTTACACTCACCGAATTGTGTTTTTGACTAAACAAGAATTTTAACACGAGCAAGCATCTGCTTTCAACGCTACCTTGTCTCACACTTTTCAGCTGTATTGAAGGATTACTTTGCCAGACAAGTGGCGCTTTTCATAGCGGAGGGATACATATCACATCGTTAACAGGTGAGTTGCTACTATTCACACAAATTACTATTCGAATATTAGTGAATAATGTTTAAATTAATTTAAGCAGCTTGATGAATAACATTTAATTGTTTCATTTCATTTTACCTGTTTATTACGTTTTTGTTGATCGCTATTTTGATTTATTATTTTATGTCTTTATATACTGATCGGGATAGAGTTACATTACCTTCGTGAGTTAAAGGAAGGTGGTACAAATTATATTTAGAACGGTATATTATCGATATCTTCATATACTTAGTACATGTGAATCTTCACGTTAACCGTGAACTTACGAAACTATAACTCTAGCGTCAACTAATTCAAGAAAGCTAGCGCTTCATTCTTTTTGCCAAATTCAAAGTCCTGTCTGAATGTCACAACATTTAAACATAATGATGCGCTTCATAACGCACCAGTTTTACCGTATACCTTAACATTGAAGTTGACGATCATTATCACCCCACCCACATGGTAATAGGCTGGGTGCAGTTTGACGTATTTTCATATAGATTCGGCAAATTTATTTCGAAATATCACACTTTATAACTTCCATATGAAAATCGTATTTGTCATTAAGTATCGCTCTCGCTTGAAATAGTTTATCCATTTGCCGAATTAAAAGTATCAGATATCTTGATATTGTTTTTGATTCAAACCATCAAAGGTAATCGTATTTTCAGTAACGTAATATAAAAACTATTTATAAAAGCACAATGCATTCAGAACCGGTACACTTTTTAATGATCATATGTTCTATATTAATTTTCGTATCACGGGGAATAGATTAAACTGATATGAAAGGTAGAACCTTAATCTCTCAAGATTTTCTAAGAAGGGACTTTTTAAAATCGGGGTATTCTGTCTAGGGTTGTGATCGCGCTGTTAAAGAATCCGGACTTCCTGTTGGACTCGTCTTTCGCGCTTGTTCTGTGAGAATGTTCTGTGAGAACCGAGGAAAAGACAGAGTCCTTCCTAGCTGTAACATAATTTAAATGTGATTCACGTTGAGTCGAAAGAGAGATGTCGTAATCCCTTCTACATAGCGACATGTCGCAAATAGGATCAAGGCCGTTTGAAGTCACTAGTGACGTCAGAACAGACACCATTTTCGGCAACACGTGATGAATTGTTTCATGGGGGGCCTTCTGCTTCACCCCCTTTTTTCCCTCACGACAAACGGAAACCAGCAGTTTACACATTGAGAAGTGTTCCACGATCACCTGCTGGTTTTCCATCAGCATCCAAACCGCGTATGGCTTCTCAAAGACAACAGCGTTTTTGTCCTTGAATTAAAAAAAAGTATTCTTGATATCTACCAACATCAGCTATACAAGCTGGCTCGAGAAGCTCACCCCATCGTGCGTGATCTCTACGTTGATCTTAATTAAACTACCCCTACAGCTGCCTCTGTGTAGGAAATATTCATTTCAAGATGTGGCGGTATAAATTTTTCTTAGAAATTATCATTTTCTTGAAAATTTGAATGTTTGAGATCCAATTAACAGCACAATGGCTAATTAATATATATCTACCAAGTGTAGTAATCATAGAAAACAGTCTAAAGATGCTTCTAAACATTTTCACATTTACTTCTGATAATTTATTACTGATGAATCACTTTTATCAACCTTTTATATCCAAAATACATATTTACATCGACTTTTAATTTAGTCAGCTTTAATTTGTTTACACAATAACTGGGTTGTGTGTTCTTTATTCCTAGAAAGTTGTCCGGATGTATAATATGGTCGACCACATCAACAAAGTGTAAAATACCAGTTTAGTTTGGCTTTATGGTAGCGGGATGTCGTAGATGAAACGCCCCTGTAGCAACTGATGACCCGAGTCTTGACTCGACTCGTTAACCCAAACACCCGGTGTCATATCTATTTGATGTAACTTCATAAATTATTCACATACTCTGCTTTTAACAACGATTACGTGTGATTTTCAAAAGGATTTATCATTATTTTTATTATTATTAACTATGTATTTCATATTAAAGATAAACATCCACTAGGGTTTGTAACAGAAATACTTTTTGAAGCTGTGATGGACCAAACGAAATCAAGTGTACACCTTTTAGAAAAGGATAATTTAAAGACATTTAGAAGTGTTAACATCATATACTGGACAAAATAAGTTAGGGATATTGGTATTTCTATCATTGATATTTTATCAGTATGTCAATGAATAAATAGATCATTATTCATAATTTCAAAATTTACATATATCCCTAACTATTTTTGGTCCAGTATAGATTATGACACGAAAACCTACTTTTCTTCTGCACCTTCATTTTCTCAAAACCTTTTCCTCGCTAGACATTTCCTCGCTAGACATTTCCTCGCGTAAAGATAATGAATCTCTGGAAAGCCAGCCCTAGTGTCATCCATTAACATCTTTAGTGCACATGCATTGTGTGATGGACATAACGTTATTAGCTGTACACCTAGTATAAAGTAACATATTGCCTCAATGATTCAACGGGAATTCAACATGGCCCGTATCTCTCATGCATTAACGCATGTGCTCCATTTTCTCTTTTGGTTTTGCGGAACAGTTCATAAAACTCATCCAGTACTTTTCTTTCTCACACAAGGGATTATTTCACCGTGTGTATGTTACTGTTATTTGTAAAACATCTTTGTCAACTATTCACTTAATTGCATGACAAAATGCAGATTCTTTGAATTCCCCATGTACATCCCCGCTAGAATATTATACAATAGATTTGTTACTTTCATACCAGAACTGAAATGTGCAAAGCGTTAGGCGCTCTGACAGTCGCATATCTAGTGGTATGCTATACATACGTCAGTTATCTATATATTATGTTAGACTGGGTTTAGGTGCGGTGTGTGTGCGACTTGGTCTCGGTAATACAGGCAAGGCTATATCACACACCTGTCAAAGTGATTGTTTCCTAGCTATTGTCTCCTTCTTATCCGAGGTGAGACGCCAGAAGCAGTCTAACACATAGCGTCGATTTTCCTCACCATCCACAGAACACCGTATTTTACAGTCTACTCGGGCTCACACTGACGTCAACCTATCGTAATTCGACACACTTGCATTTCAATGCTGTACCTATGTAAAACTAGGGTTAAACTCGGTTCAAAGGTGTCGTTCGTAATAAAACGATAAGCTGTTAACAAAATGTTTAAAGTGATAATTGTCTTACTTTAAAAAACCAAACAACACAATTTCTATGCACAAGTTAACTTTTTGTAGAAATAATACGCTCAACTGCGATTCTGCTAAGTATCATAAGTAAATTAATTGTTTTCTCTTAATTACGACTGTTATAGCCTGTCCACATTTGTATCCAATAGTTACGCGCCTTCGACAGCCACACACTGTCGTCTGGCTGCTTGACGTGATGCATCTCAAACTGACATGGTCAAGACTTACACATTTCACATTATTTCAAAAATTGTCTGTATTGTTTCATTGTTGTGAGATCACGACTACTCACGAATATCGTTTCAATGTCATCGTTAATGTATTTCGATTCCGTATTGTTACTCGGTACCGAGGTGACTAATTCGCCGAAGAAGCAAAGTAGGCAATTGTCTACAGTACTTTGCTCGCACCTGTTCAAACGCTCTATCAGTAGGTTCACAACACAACACACATCCCCACATCCCAGTTGTTGACTATTGTCATTTTGTCAAAGTATTTTGAAACGCATCGAGTTGATTTAAGTTCTTAAGCTAAAGAAATATAATTAATCAAATCATCCCATTGGCTGATAATTATACGTTTCATCGATTATATATTTAATATCGAACGCATCACACAAATATAGATTGTGGCAGAGATTCTAAACATCAACACAATGTAAAGTTTTAAAACATATTTCTCTATAACCTGTTATATAGGCACAATTTTTTTCTCATTCTAATACATTTCCAATATATTTATAAATCTGATGTTGGATTCTATTTAAATTTTGTTCTAAATTTAGCAAATGCGTAAAAGCTATACGTATAAAGGATGTTTATCCAATGTACGCATTACACAGTTAAATATACGTAAGTGCATAGACAGATCCTTCGTAAAATACTTAGTTAACACAGCCTAGCTTCTCTGAGGGTAATCTTTAACCCTTTAAACAATCATCCGCAAACAATCAGGTAAACGCAATTTGCCCGCTCTAACTGGAAGAGTACAGGAAACATGTCTCTCAGAGCAGACTCGTGGAAGCCGGTCTCGCACACCTGTCTACTTCTCAGAGATCTTTGAACTGGCGCCAGACCCATGCACGTAATTCACTTCTATGGCATCCTGGAGAAGCGCGTGTTTATTGTGTACACATAAAGTATGCCACAGCACACAACAACGACGGACTATCACGCTGCTTGGCCGTTACTGTAGCCGTCGCAGTTACTGAGGGCATCGGACGTCCGTGACCCCCTCGCCGTACAGAGATGGCTCGAATTGTTAATCGTTGTAGGCAACTTAAACTTCTTCAGACGGGAGAGTAAGGACTGAGATTTGAGGATTGGATTGGAGATAAAGCACACTGGGTGATTGATTATCGTTTAATCCGGTGATTATGGAGGCTGCCCACTTCCAGTTCGTGCTAGACACCTGAATGTGAAAATATGATCCTTTAGATTAAATACCTGCTGTCATTAGGATACGATTGTGTTACTGATTGGAGAGCCAACGTGACCACTTTGGTTTTTATGACTTCCAGGAACCAGTCGCAGAGTAAGGATGAAGACATATCTAACGACAATAATAGCACTCATAGCAACTTTGGAATATGTTGATACATTCCCAATGAAGGTAAGTCCTAAGAAATGTGTAACTGTTAAGTGAGTGAGTATCAGTACGTGGTCGTTAGTGTGCGTGTGCGTACGTGTGTGTGTGTGTGTGTGTTTGTCTCTATCTTTCTGTGCTTGTGTGTGTGCGTGTATGTGTGTGTGCGTGCGTGTATGTGTGTTTGTCTCTCCCTTTCTATATGTGCGCGTGTGTGTGTGTGCGTTGTCTGACGCCTCTTTTCAATATTCCACTATTGTTAAAGAACATTCAGAATTATACATAAAATATCACAAATATTATCGTGAGGCTTACCATCACATGAAGTATATCATCCCCGCTCTGATCTTACATATTCAGCGTATAAAGGATACATGATTTACCTAGGTACAAGGAACATACAGAAAGTGAGTGTAAAATGGATACATGTGGTTCTTGAGTACTATAAGTACACGTATAGACCTACCGCTTCTGGAACGCACTCGCTCGATGTTATTTTAATTCAATGCTTTCTCAAGACATTTTAAGTCACACTGACTACCCTTGAAACGTCCTGAAATAACTTGCCTGCTTCGCAATAGAGCACTGACAGAGTGAGTGTGGTATTTTGCTACTGCCACTGGTTGCTGAAAGGATTCCATTCTTCATACATTATTGGTGTACATGTTTTGGTACATCGTTAACATTTCACAAATCAGTAAGGATTTGTATTATCGTAGATTAAGCTGGCATTTGTTTAGGACATCACGGTCAAACTTCTCAGTACAGCACGTATTTATCATTAACATGTGATGAGGCATTCACCTGCATTGGGTGTGCAAAGTGTTTATGAGTTAAAGATAGATAAGATGTTGAAAAGAAGTAGAACAGAAATTGGAGGAAATGAAATTTAGTTTTACCACTGGTGTCAGAATAGGTAGCTAATATATGACTGAAATACCATGCGTGTATCAACAAGTGTTATAAACGTATTTACCAACAGTCTACAACAACAGAAATAATGACTCCTTACGTATATTGTTAGCCAGTTTGTAGCACTAACATAGGAATGTTCACTCCTTGCATTTATCATTACTATAAACACATGCTTATTACACCCAACACATGCTCATTACTCTCAACACATGCCCATTACTCTCAACACATGCCCATTACTCTCAACACATGCTAATTACTCTCAACACATGCTAATTACTCTCAACACAGGCCCATTACTCTCAACACATGCTCATTACTCTCAACACATGCTAATTACTCTCAACACATGCTAATTACTCTCAACACAGGCCCATTACTCTCAACACATGCCCATTACTCTCAACACATGCTAATTACTCTCAACACATGCTCATTACTCTCAACACATGCTCATTACTCTCAACACATGCCCATTACTCTCAACACATGCTCATTACTCTCAACACATACTAATTACTCTCAACACATGCTAATTACTCGCTAAACACATGCTTATTACTCTCAACACATGCTAATTACTCTCAACACATACTAATTACTCTCAACACATGCTTATTACACCCAACACATGCTCATTACTCTCAACACATACTAATTACTCTCAACACATGTCCATTTCTCTCAACACATGCTAATTACTCTCAACACATGCTCATTACTCTCAACACAGGCCCATTCTTCTCAACACATACTCATTACTCTCAAACACATGCCCATTACTCTCAACAGATGCTCATTACTCTCAACACATGCTCATTACTCTCAACACATCAACACTCATTACTGCTCTCAACACATGCCCTCATTACTCTCAACACATGCATGCCCATTACACTCTCAACTCTCAACACATATGCCCATTACTCTCAACACATGCTCATTACTCTCAACACATGCCCATTACTCTCAACACATGCCCATTACTCTCAAACACATACTCATTACTCAACACATGCTCAACACATGCTCATTACTCAACACATGCTCATTACTTTCAACACATGCTCATTACTCTCAACACATGCCCATTACTCTCAACACATGCATGCCCATTACTCTCAACAGCACATACTCATTACTCATCTCAACACATACTCATTACTCAACACATACACATCAACACCCATTGCTCTCAACACATGCATTACTCATCAACACATGCTCATTACTCTCAACACATGCCCATTACTCTCAACACATGCTCATTACTCTCTCAACACATGCCCATTACACATGCCCATTACTCAACACATGCCCATTACTCTCAACACATCAACACATATGCCCATTACTCTCAACACATGCCCATTACTACTCTCAACACATGCTCATTACTCTCAACACATGCCCATTACTCTCTCAACACATGCCCATTACTCTCAACACATACTCATTACTCTCAACACATACTCATTACAGCACATACTCTCAACACATGCTCATTACTCTCAACACATACTCATTACTCTCAACACATGCCCATTACTCTCAACACATGCTCATTACTCTCAACACATGCCCATTACTCTCAACACATGCCCATTACTCTCAACACATGCTCATTACTCAACACATGCCCATTACTCTCAACACATACTCATTACTCTCAACACATGCTAATTACTCTCAACAAATGCCCATTACTCTCAACACATGCCCATTACTCTCAACACATGCTCATTACTCTCAACACATGCTAATTACTCTCAACACATGCCCATTACTCTCAACACATGCAGATTACTCTCCCCACATGGCTATTGCAGTATTCTCTGTAAGCTACAATGGCGTGAAATCAGCCAACCATTGCCCATGGGAGGAACACAGTTGTACACGCATCTATAATAATCCCTGACGCAAGTATCTTACTGAGTAATCTAGTTAATTTAATCTTTAGAAGTCGACCTTAATTTATCATGTCGCCTAAAAACAGAGTGTTTTAGTCTGTTCCTGTCTCTACGGTGGAACTCCCCCTCTGTCTTGTGCAACATTTCATCATTTCTCAGTGCGTTCGTCTCTGATTAAGATGAAGTTGACCTGCCTTTAAATGCTGCCTCGAAACTTTCACCTGGGAAAAGCACTCCGCCCTCTGACCTGTAGTGATGGTTGCAGTGAAATCTTGACTTGGGAGATATAATTGTTGAGTTATTTGGTCAAATCCGGTTTTCAAGAGTGTACTTTCTTCTACCAGGCAGTCCTTTACTAAGACCTTTACTTTGAATCATTATTAAGACATTTATGTAAATACTTATGGCACGCGTATGTGAAAAGAGAACTGTTCCTCAGTTCACAAATGAAACAATGATTTCGAAAAGTATGTAAATATGTATATAGTGTATACATTCATGTGGCCTACATACTGAATAAGCACTTGATTTGGATAAATTATGTGTTAAATGGCAGTTCAAGTGAAGCAAAGCTGAAGTGTTCCTGTACTCAGTGAAAAATGCAATGTATTTAAAAATGATATACCAGTTCAAATGTAACTATAACCAGATCAATATTATTATGATTCACTGATCCCACGTGATTTAAAACCATGTTAATAATTATCATAACTGAGACATAAACATTAAAGTATACATGAGAAAATTGGTTTTAACAAAACATTTACATGTTGAAAACGTTATTAGGCTGAACCCAGTGTCCGACACACCCCAAACAAGGTCATGCCCAGTATTAGTCTGTCATACAGACCCTGAAGCAAATATATCCAAGAAAACCCATTAAGTCTAGAACTGACTGACTGACTGAGTTTGGTTTTACGCCGCTTTTAGCAATATCCCAACAACATCACGGCGGGGGGACACCAGAAATGGGCTTCACACATTGTACCCATGTGGGGATTCGAACCCGGGTCTTCGGCGTGACGAGCCAACGCTTTAACCACTAAGCTACCCCACCGCCCCTCAAGTCTAGAAAATGTGGCAAGTCTACTCTGAAAATGAAGAAAGTCTCAGGGCTCCTTTTCATTATATTTTATTTGTTTTCACTATGAGCTTTTTTTCTGTAAAATATTATCATTTCAGAGACTAGTTGTTAGTCTAGGTCTATAGCACATCTATGATACCCGTATCACAAGCTTCAACATGTCTTGCTTGTTGCTGTTCTAGGCACCGTCAAACATGGGTGTACGCTTTCTTTTTTCCTGGCACTGATGCAAATGTATGCTTCAATACACTGTAGTGTGTGAGGGAAAAAAGGCTTCTTTCATTACAGCATTGCCTGTGGTGTTTGTCGGTTGTCAATAGTTTTAACTTAATTCCATCTGTAATTAAAACAAAATAATAGTGTTTTCAGTGTATTAAATGGTGTTAGTTTCAGCTCAATTTAGCACATTTTATTAAGCAGCAAGCACACAAACTAACTCCCGGGGATACCGTGAAGCTCACGTGTCGCGTTATGTAAGATGTGTCTCACCAACCAATGTCCACACCTATGATTCGTTTTAAAATTCAAGGCTGTCATGTGGAATGGCTGCCGGAGCTCCCAATGTAAACATGGGTAATTTTCTCAACTGTGCGAACTAAACGAACTATTTTGTCCACCGTGTTTGCGAAAGCCTAATCACGACCTTTAAAGTCATCGCAGGAATACCTGCATGGTGGGGCCGTGGAATGAGAAGCTGGGGCAATGAGAGATACGAATACCCCGCATTGTTAGCTGCATGTAGCACATGTCTTTCACTGATAGTTAAATCGTAAAACGTAGTTAAATCTCGGTTAAACTGCATGCTTTGAAAGACTAATTTCTCCTGAATAAATAATGTCAAAACAAATACTAAAAAACGCATTTTAGAACATCCATGAAATTGTCAAAGTTGAAACCGCAACAGGTCTTTGGAAGATTGCTAGATGGCATCGCTGAATTGCAAATGCACACGCATGAATAAACACACATGCATACCCACGCATAAGGACAGGCATGCACCAGTGAGTGAGTTTAGTTTTACGCCGCACTCAGCAACAGGTACGTTCAGAGACAGGCCTATCCGCAGGAAATGCTCACACGTATAGAGATGTCTCAAGACACAGGAACCCATGGAGACG